TTTCATTTTTTTTTAGTAGTAACATCTCATGTGTTGGGAGAAATGGTGAAGCGTCGATGGAGGAGGGACTAGAGGAATTATTCCGGCCACTATTCTTGCTTTTTTTGAAGGACAACTTCAGGTATCGACGTATTGTAACTATGCTTTTTTACGTATGCATGGTGTGGCATTACTATATATTTTTTATATTTGAATTGTATTATTTTAATGATTATCATGTGGAGATCGAAATAACAAGATGACATATCAAAACTAATAATTAAAAATCTTTTATGATGATAAATCAGACAACAAATCTATATTATAAGGATCATGTATTTCCACAACCCGATCTATATATAAAAAAATTGTTCGAGTGGAAGTCTATCTCACAATTCTTCAACTGCTCTTTTAGCTCTTTCAACTCTACTAGTGTCATTCTATATGGCGGAATAGATATAGGACGAGTATCCGAAATAATATCTACACCAAAGTCTATTTGATCTCTCTCAGGAGGGACTGCAGGTATATCATCTGGAAAGACTTCTGGAAACTCATTCACAACTGAAAATTACTCAATATGAGGTGTCTCAACACTAGAATCATTAATTCAGACTAAGTGATAGACACACCCCTTGAAAACTAACTTTCTCACCTTAAGGTACGAAATGAAACGACCCTTAGGTCCACTCTATAACTGGCTAATTAGGAATTTGGAACCTATAACAACTTGAGTTCTACAATCAATAGAGGCATAACAGGCATGAAGCCAGTCCATACCTAGAATTACATTAAAATCTATCATGTCTAATTCAACTAAATCAGCCATGGTGTTCTTGTGATTGATGGAAATGACACAATCACGATATACTCGCTCAGCTATAATAGACTCCCCAATCGGTGTAGAAACACAAAAAAGGTTCACAAAGTTTCTCAGGAAGGACATCAAAATTCATTGCAACATAATGAGTCACAAAAGATAAACTTGCTCCTGGGTATAGCAAAGTATAAACATCAAGAGTAAAGACTTTGATCATACCAGTGACAACATCTGAAAAATTCTCTTACTCTTGATGACTAGTGATCACATAAAGGCGTTTTGCTCCTCTGCCAGTACTGGAAGTAGCTCCTCTAGGTGTAGCCATGTCTGGTGGAGCAACTGATGAAGATTGGGCCCTATTGCCCTGATTCCCCTTACCTTGCGATGAGTCCACAAATTGGACTCGTTTACGTCTATAATTTGATTGGTTTCGTGTCCTAAAATTGCATATGTAGTCTAAAAAACTGATCAAATATATTAAGTTTCGGGTATTTAGACTTGGAGACAAAAGCACGGACACACATGAGCAAAAAGGAACTAGGAAGCTGAAAGAGCACGAAAAAGACCCCCTAATGATTGCTTAACCTCTTTGGCGATCCACCAAAGTGACCATTAGAGATCGGCCAACATTATTCGGCGACACGCTGAATAGGTCACCAAAGCTCCGAAAGTTACAGAACACTGGAGTAAAAATGAGAAAAATAACGGTGAGTAGCAAACTTATTCGGCGAATCACCGACCAATTCAGCGTTAAAGGACATAGTCGTCGAAGGTGTTGGTAAAAATCTTCAAACAATTATTGATGGGCGAAACACCAAGGAAGAAGGCGATTCGCGAAATGGATTGACGAACCCCGATCAAGATCACCTTTTGTTACAGTGGTCCAGTTCGAGAATTGATGAACATCGAAGGCGAGACAAACAAGAATCGGGGAGTCATACATCGATCGCTCAGCGATCCTGACTAACTGCGCTGAATGGATCCTTCGCATCACACTTTCTGAAAACTATAAATACTCATTGAGAGTTTTAACCTAGTATCGATTTTTCAGTGTAAAACATTATTTTTTTCATATTTTAGTTTCTATCTTTTAGCTCTAAGTTTGGAGAGGGTTTTTGAAGACTTTGAAAAATCAAAAAGGGTTTCATCTCCAAGATTTGGAAGTGGATCCTGTGGATTCTTCATTCTTAGCTTGTTTGAGACTTAAATCTTCATACCTATTTGAATGCAAGCTCATTTTGGTATAAATTTCTATCTATTTTACATGTCTAGCTAAAACTCCAATTCTTGGGGTGTGATTTTGTGAATATGGGTTAAATTAGTTAATGGGTCTTGCTTGTTGATGGTTTAATCGTAGTTTAAATGTGATTTCGTTTAGTAGTTGTGTTGGAATTTAATGGGATTGTAGTTGCAAATACAATTTCACCTATGTGTTTTTGACTTGCTCGAGAGAGAGGTCGTAAACTAAGACTACTAAATTGATGGCCGGTGGAATTGGATCGACGTGAGGTTTAGCCCGAGAGGGTGAGCCCTAGTCTCATTCCCCCACACTCAGCTCGAGAGAGTGAGTAGGTTAAGGCGTAGGCTGTGCTTCATGCGGCAAGTGGGTGTCCGAGAGGAACCCATTTGAAACGGGGTAAGTTGCTCAAGAGAGAGCTTATCCCCCTTAAAGTGTATTCTAGTCACAATTACTCTATGAACTCCCTATCAATAGCATGTACCCATTACATTAGTTTATCCTGTATTCCTATCACATCCCAAGAATCCTGTCTCCTTGATTAGTACTTTTTGTGTTTTTGCCATTTTTGCTTATTTGTTACAAACCCCCATAGTTAATTGACGCTTGTGTCACCCCTTAATTTGATTTGTTTTAATCGTTAATGTTTATAGCTATGGTTGATTAGAACTAAATTCTTACTTGCTATTATACTCTCAACTATTGAACCGCTCCCTTGGGACTCGACTCCAACCCTTGGTTGGATTATACTACTGCTTACGACCGTTGGACACTCGAATTAGAGGTAGTGTCTTGATAAGCGAGATCGTAAAAAGGACTTATCATCTTGCCGGTACTTAGGGCACTCTTTCATGAAGTGACCCTCTTGGCCACACTTGAAACAACATGTGGAGCCATCGCGATACTTACCTGGGTGAAAACTACGTACCACACTTTACAGGTTAGAGCATGCAAGTATTAGTAATGAGAGAACTTGTGTATTATTTTAGGTAGGGATCAATTATTTATTTTATTAGTTTTATTTATGAAATACTAAACTCCTAACCAATTATATCAAACATGTTATTATTTATGCAGAATGTATAACTCACTTCTAATTCAACTATCAAACAATCTTTAGCGCGCCGAAATCACACATGGAGACGTACCCAAAACGTGGAGATGGGAGTGAGTCCATGGGGCACCAAATATGTGGAAATAATAGTGTTAGGTGTGGGAGGGTTAAATTACAATTTTCAAGGTTTCTAAGTCCTAATTGGCCAACGACGATTTTGACTTTATTTCCAATTTCTCTGTCCATCATTTAATTGCCATATGATACAGCACCATAATCGATCCATATATTATATTGGAATGCGGATATTATTTATTCTTTTAAAAATAAAGAGGTGGTGTGCTAAACAGTTTCAGATCTCATCACATATATATTATATAAATATAATACCAATAAAGAATAGAAAAAGGAAAGATAAACATTACTAACGATAGTTGCGGAGCAAAGTGAGTGATGTGTGAGGGAGAGAATTTGTTTAATATCCATGTGTCAGTTTTGTCGATATGACTTTAATTTCAATTGAGTTTAGGCAATTTCGATAAGGCAGTGAAAATTATAGTGCTGAGTCTAGAAAAATCTCATACAGTGTGGGGTAAACCTCAACAAGGATGTTGAGTCCATAAAGGGGGTGTATATGACATCCTAACTTAAGATAAAAAGTCTCATAAAATATAAAAAATATATTGATATATAAGTAAACAAGTCTTACCAACAATCTAACAATATCACTAACGGACTGGACTACAATATATGTGTATAGGTCAAATCAGTATCGAAATATGTTTTAATACAAAATTTTGGTTTCAATTACGCCGCATTGACTTCAAGCGCATGTGATATGCATTTAAATATGTGTAAGAGCATCTTATCTAATCAATTTATAAAATCAATTTTGGTTCCCAAGATTCATAATAATATAGATATGGGTTCAACCAACAAGGTAAATGGTACCGCCTTATAATTTAAAAATCTAACACGTTTTAATTCCACTTAATTTTAATCAAATTTTAAGTGACTCTTTAATCAACTAAGAGTCACTTATTACAAGTTTTAATTAATTAATTTAATACCATTAATTAATTAGGTACAATGTACTAACTAGCTACGTAGTAATAAGGTGTCTAACACACACATATAAGGTTTTGATGAGTAATTATGTCTTTAAACATGCTAATGCATGCATTAAAATTATTTGAATTATTAAGGCTATGAATTTTTTCATGTATTATTTATAAGCATCAGTTATACACTGGTTAAAAATTGTACCAAACAAGGTACTAATAATACACAAAGCTAAGTGCATGCATTATTAGTTTTTCTAAAACGACCTCTTAAGTGCGCAAAAATAATAATTTTGAATTAAATCTATTAGTAATGTTTACATTAATAATGTTGGATTAGTTATGTTGCATTATTTCTTGTACATTGTTGGATATGATGTATTAGAAATAACAAGTCTTACATAACTTCTATAAAAAAAATAAAAAATTACAAAAATACCTTCGAAAATTTGAAAATATTTTGAGAAAGATTTGAGGGATAGTTATATCAGTAATCAATCTAAGCATTCGTAATACATCAAAATTCATGGTATTAGTAATGCATGCATTATTATTTTTAATAATATTACACAAAGTTAATGCATATATTATTTTTTCTAATACACCCTATCAAACGACTCCTTGTTGTGTTAGCCGGGCCCACACCAACTATAAATTCACTTTCCTTCAATTGGTCCCACTATCCACGTGTCAAAATTTAAACGGATTTTCATACAATTGTTATTGGTTATGTCAAACTCAAAATAAAATTTATCAACTTGTTTACGTGCCTATATATACCATGCTTTGTTATATGCTCAAAGCACCAACAAAATTTAAACAAATTAGTTTTTATTAATTATAATCTGCAAAATGGCAACTACTAAATCTTTTTTAATTTTAATTTTTATGTTATTAGCAACTACTAGTTCAACATTTGCTTCGTTGGAAGAAATGGTGACTGTTCTTAGTATTGATGGAGGTGCAATTAGGGGAATCATTCCGGGTGTCATTCTTGAATTTTTAGAAGGAGAACTTCAGGTATCGTAAAAATATTTTGTTATGTATGTACGTAAGTGTGAATACTACTATAGTCATTCCGGGTACCATTCTTGATTTTCTTGAAGGACAACTTCATGTATATATCATAAAAATATTTTTGGGAAAAAGGACAAATATATCCCTGAACTATTGTAAATGGTATGTAAATATCCTTCGTCATACTTTTGGGACATTCGTGCTCTGCCGTCCAAAAACTAGAGCATATATACCCTTTATACTAACGGACATACACGTGTCATAATATTATCTGTCGATTAAATATCGAATCGATGGATAAGATTGCGTCACGTGTCCCGATTTAGTCTTCCGTTAAAGTGAAGGGCATATATGCTCTAGTTTTTAGACGGCAGGGGCATCAATGACTCAATAGTATGACGGAGGGTATCTGCATACCATTTACGATAGTTCGGAGGTATATTTATGCTTTTTCCCAATATTTTTTCGTGTATGTATGTAAGTGTGACATTACTATCGTTATTCTGTTAGGATTTATACGATTTACTTTTCTTTTCGAGTCAGAGAATAGACAATAATCCAGATGCAAGACTAGCAGATTACTTTGATGTAATTGGAGGAACAAGTACAGGAGGTTTATTGGTTGCTATGATAACTACTCCAAATGAAAACAATCGACCCTTTGCTGCTGCCAATGAAACTGTACCTTTTTACTTCGAACATGGCCCTAGGATTTTTTCTCGTAGGTACATATACATATTTATATTCTTCGATTTTAATTTATTTGTCTAATTTTAATTTGATACAGAGCGTAAAAAAAGATTTTTGAGTCTTCTGATAATATTTAATATTGTGGTCTTAAACATGTCTAGCTAATCTTAAACAATTACTTACTCTCTTTGTTCTAATTTATGTGACACTTTTTTCATTTTTCGAGAGTCAAACAGTGAATCATTTGCAATGTGTCGAACAATCAAGTAATGAAATATTCAGTATTTTTGTACGTAATTTTCCGAGATAGAATAGAATTAACCCCAACTATATGAGATTTTTGTTGTTTATACTTACATATATATATATATTTAATTTGGTTACATTATTATATTATGCAGGCCGCTCTTTCCAATTATTCCAGGCCCACAATATAATAGTACATATCTTATGCAAGTTATTAAAGAAAAAATGGGAGAAACTCGTTTGAATCAAACTTTGACAGAAGTTGTCATCTCAGCCTTTGACATCCAAACAAATAAGCCAGTAATATTCACCAAGTCAAATGTAAGTCAAAATAATTATTTCGAATTTCTTATTTATTTTCTAGTACGTTTGGTAAATACATACAATTTTTTTTAATTTTTATTTTAAATGCGCGCAGTTAGCAGAGTCGCCAGAATTGAATGCTAAGATGTATGACATATGTTATTCCACAGCAGCAGCTCCAACATTTTTTGCTCCACATTACTTTGTTACTACTATTAGTAATGGAGATCCCTATGAGTTCAATCTTGTTGATGGTGGTGTTGCTACTGTTGGTGATCCGGTAATTTTTTATCGATCATGCATATATATATATTTTTTATTTTTTATTTTTTTTTAGATATATATATCTGATCTATTATGTGTGGATGCATGATGTTAGGGTTTTGCCCTGATTTTCTTACCATAATTTAAAATTTATTTTTCTTTAAAGAAAAGACAAAATATCAGGAAAATATAATAATCTTTAATATTTGGTTTATTCTTTCCTTTTAGGAAAAGGTTAGTCCTTTTCTAGTAAGAAGAGGTTTTAGGACACTATAAATGTAGTCGTTTAGGGATTTTTGTTTATGGGGAAATTTATTATCTCCACAGTTTCAATGTTTTTCTTTCTATTAGTTTTAATATAATAATATTTTGATTTTTAGTATAAGTTTTTGTTATCTGATTTATCAACCATATGATTTGCAATTGTAAGCTTCCGCATGACGCCCTAATCTCCTTCATTACCCAACACATGCATGCAGGCGTTATTATCTGTTAGCGTTGCAATGAAACATGCAGAAAATGAGGATCCAGCATTTGCTTCAATTAAGTCAATGAATTACAAAAAAATGTTGTTGCTCTCATTAGGCACTGGCACTACTTCAGATTTTCGTGAAACATATACAGCAGCAGAGGCAGCTAGATGGAATCCTCCTAAATGGATGTCAGTTATACAAAATATGACTCAAGCAGGAAGTACTTACATGACTGATTATTACCTTTCTACTGCTTTTAAAGCTCTTGGTTCACAAGACAATTACCTCAGGGTTCAAGTATGTCCCATCATCATGTATTTGGTATCCTGAATGCATGTGAATCACATACAGATACATGTATCTAGTGCGATTTGCATGTATCTGAGATACATATAAATCTCACTCATTACTTACATATATATCTATACACTAGTCTGCAATATTACCTATTTTATCAGATCACTAATGCATGTCGCTTGCCACTCTCCCATCATGTATTAATTGGTATCCCGAATGCATGCGAATTATCACACTAGAGAGTGAGATTTGCATGGGATACATACGAATCTCACTCGCCTTTCTCTCTATTTTTGTGTATCTGGTAGCAAAAATATGTGTATCTAAGTATATTTTTCTTAATATATACTCCCTCCATCGCATTTTAGTCTGACTCGGCACGGAGTTTAAGAAAGAGAGAAATTACTTTGAAAACTTGTGATCCAAAATGAATGATATAAATTTGTGTGACTATAAATCATTTCATTAAGGGTAAAATAGACATTTTATAGTTAAATTGTTACTTAATATAGAAATGTGTCATTCTTTTTGGGACGGACTAAAGAAGAAAGTAGGTCACATAAATTGGGACAGATAGAGTAATAGCAAACTCTTAATAAGTGGTAAGATACATAATATTTTATTAAAAGTATATATGATAGTAAAGTATGTAGTTTTTTTCATTATATTATTTTATAATTATAATATGCATGATGTCATATTTTAATTTCTTTGCTAACGATATGAGTATATTTAATTCCAGGAAAATGCATTAACAGGCACAACTGTTACATGGGACAATGCTAGTCCGGAAAATATGGAATTATTAAAACAAGTTGGTAAAGATCTATTGAACAAACAAGTTTCCAAAGACAATCCTGATGAAACCTATGCGGACGCTCTACTAGGGTAAACCTCTTAGACGCATTCGATTCTGTCGGTGCTTGAAATAATTTTTTTCTATTTTTTCATATTATTATATCTCGTCAGTCAATATTATTCATATTAAATTTCTAATAAATCTAATTTGTTGCTAATTAAAATAATTTATTTCGTTGTAGGTTTGCAACAAAGCTCTCTGATAGAAAGAAACTCCGAGCAAACAAAGCGTCTTATTAATTCAAGGTCTCGGGTTGTAGTAGTAGTAACCTTACTATGCTAAATAATAAGCGCTTGCAATATTTATGATTGCGCGCATTTAAGTATTTCAATAGAAATATGTCTCTCTATGTAATGTAATGTGTGTTTGGATTATGTAACCTTTTGGTTGAGTTTAATGTTTTCATAAATTATGGTGATTTTGTGTTATGACATCCGAATTTTCTTTTCTAACCAAAAAGAAAAAGTATTTACATTTATCTTAGAAAATTAAAAAAAAGGTTGTTGACACTCAACTTTGACCCTCCACGATAGAAATTAATCATAATAATAATAATAATAATTAAGAAACTCTCTAGCCAAATCCCCTAAATTAACTCAAATCGGCTAACTTGTTAATTTCCTTTGTAATTGCTATGAATACAAATGTTTGGCTCTTTAAAATAATTTGTTAAGAACCGTATCTCTTTATTTCTGTACTGTTAAAGTATGATATATGAGTCGTACATTTTCTTTAATCCACTGTTGGTTTGTTTGATAAAATACAATAGTATTACATGTTCTACAAAGAGTGTACGAAATTAATCTTCTAGTGTCTTGCGTTGTTCTGTTTCATTATATTTTTAGAACATAGTTTTCTCAAGTCTTAATGTAAGTGTATGAGCAGTTATCTATTTGTGCCTAAGTGTGTGTTTGTTTAATTTGATTGATAATTACATTTAAATCAATTTTTCTTCAGTCAATTTTTCCCGTGCATTTCACTTGAGCCAAGGAGGCTCAATCTTATTCTTTTCGAGTCAAAATCAAAGTACAGGGCTGGAAAATAGAAAATGCCAGTGTTCGAAGCGAAATTAAAGGCTGTATACACTCAGTATACAACAGTATATGCGAAATATGCAGAATATACAGCAGGGATATACTGTATACAGTCATGAAAATGGGTCAAAAGCCCTCCCGAAAATCCAGTTTTGTGTTGTATTACAATTGGGCAAAAGGCCAATTTATATTTTACAGAAAAGGGTCAAAATTGCCCCTAAACTATGCGAAATAGACCACTTATACCCTCCATTACATTTTGGGATCAAAAATATCCCCGCAGTTATCCCAGGAGACCACAAATACCCTCAAGAGTTAACACCCCAATTTTTTAGTGACGTGGCACGCCACATGGGACTAATCCCTCCACCTAAGCATTGCCAACTAAGATTCACTATAAAAGAACTTGACTTTTAGTGGCGACAAAGTCGCCACAAAATCCCAAAATATTGCCACTAAAGGTTATGAGTGATTTTTAGTGGCGACTAAGCCTCCAACAACCATTCGCTAGTAAAACCTATTTTTTCAACAAAAAAATATGATAATTAATTTTCGATTGCGACCTAATTTTCTAAAAAAATAACTTGCAATATCCATATTAAAAACATCCAATATTATTACGAAAAATAATCAAAATTACTTCTCGATTCAAATCTCCTACTATATATATATAATGCATCATTATACATTTTATACATTTACATATGACATAAAAATAAAACATATAGTGTCTTCAAACTCCTACTGAATCGATATCATATTTGGTTTTTTAAAAACAATGAAGAAAAAAACACAAAATTAGAATTTAATGTTAAAAACTTTTAGTGACGATTTTCTGGCTTTTGTGGCGAATGTTGTTGCCGCTAAAGGTCTAGTTCTTTTGTAGTGAATCCTAGTTGGCAACGCTTAGGTGGAAGGATTAGTCCCACGTGGCTTGCCACGTCAACAAAAATTTGGGGTGTTAACTCTTGAGGGTATTTGTGGTCTCTTAGGATAACATAAGGGACATTTTTTATCCCAAAATGTAACGAAGGGTATAAATGGTCTATTTCATGTAGTTCGGGGGCAATTTTGACCCTTTTCCGTATTTTTTATATTATTTGAAAGTTTTAGGGCAGGTGAAAATTAGGTTAAAAGCCCAAAGAAAGGTCAGCTTTCCATGTTAGTTTAGGATAGGTACAAAAGGGAAAGAATTGGGTCAGATATAAATGGGCCAAAAGCCAAAGTTGAATTTAAGCCCAAGTATCGATCCAGGCGGACAGAAACTGGACTTGGGCCCAAGTCTTCTCTTCCTTATAATTTATTGAGATTGTCGGTACATGTTTATTTGTGTTATTTGATTTTGAGGTCTTCCCAATTCGATTCCCCAAAGAAATCATTTTGAGTTAATACTTATATTTTTCTAAAATTAAATAAGATTATCTACTTTCTACTTAACAATCTTTAGAGTATTTTCAAGGTATTTACTTAAGTAATATCTCTCCAATATTTCCCCTCCCCTGAAAAAATAATTTTGAGTTTTAAACTGTTTATTTTTGCAACTTAATTAAGCATGCTTTTCTTAAAGTTTAGCCAAATATTTTAATTGTCGGATAACCGTAAGTTAGCGGATGTTTTAGGTGCTTTCAAACACTTCCTAAAACATTAATATGAACTCCGAACCCCTTTTAATATATTTCATTAGATTTTCTGTTTTTAATCTTTTGAAAAAAATAGTTCTCTTAATTTTATTTTAAAAATTAAGTGGCGACTCTTAAAACTCGTTTCTTCTTTTTTTTTAAAATAAAATAAAACAATCATTTTTAGTTTTAAATTTTATTTTTACTATTAATTATATAATTTTTTTCAAATTAGTGAATTTATTAGATTCAAAAAGTGATATAATAATTTATTGATCGTTAAAAAATGTGTCAAGTTAATACTTTACAAATAAAAATAGTCAGAGGGTGTATCAATTTAGAAGTGCCAAGTTAATACTATACAAATAACTATTATAAATATAAGATATTCTTGAACTTAGATATCCTAGATGAATGAGAGAAAAAAATAGTACCATTTATTTTGATGCAAGTAATTTGATCCATCAATTAATATTTGATCAAACTTTTGAAAGTATTTTTAAGTGTGTTTTTCTTTAAAGTGTTTCTTGGAAAAACTTATACTTTTTTAGCATTGAAAAACAACTTCAACTACTATGTACTACGGAAAAACACTTATTCTCTCCCAAAAATCTATCCAGACACGTCATTTTTAAAAATAAGTTTGGTCAACACTTTGACTTGCTAATACTCTAAGTCAAATATCTTTTAAAAGTCAATTTGACGAACTTATAAAATTAGAATTTGCTTGGATGAGATTATGATTTTGACTAATTATAGGTCAAAAATAATAAGTTAGGAATTCTAATTATAGTTTTTGACTTATTTTTTGTCTGTTTGACTTAAAAGTCATAGTTAAGAATTCTAACTTATGACTTTTGATAATTTTTTGTCTTTTTGAGTTTAAAACAAATGTTTAAAAATATTTTTATATTTTATTCAAACACTACAAAAAATACTTTAAAGTTATTTTAGCATTTAAAATAAATCTATTCAAATAAGCTCTAAGTCAAACGTTTACCCACTAAAATAGAAGGGAAAAAAAACAAGAGTAAAAAAATAAAGAAAATCAATTCATAGACAAAAAGTAATAAGGTATAACCTTAAAATTGACCAAATGTGCACACATTTGTAATAATATATATGGTAACACAAAACAAAAAATTAAGTAAAAAAATATCTAAGATCTAGTATTGCATAGGCGTTTCGAACATCATATCACAATAATTTTTTGAACCAACTAAATCATCACACCATAGGATCACATTAGTTCATTTGACATGATATGATTAATTTTAATTTATCAAATTTAACCTGTAAAAGATTCCGATCAAGTGGATTCATCTGAACCTCTTTGATCCTACATGAATCTGACTCGGCTTACAAATATAATAATTGTGAGATTATTCTGCTAACAAATCTGATTACAAAGAGTAAATGATCAGGACTTGAACCAAAGACATTTCATGTGATTATATAAACCCCTCACTTGTTAGTGAATGCTTTTGTACTAAAAAAAGATTAGTCTAACAATGGCAACTAGAACATCATTTTTCATTATAATTTTTTTGGTAGTAACATCTCATGTGTTGGGAGAAATGGTGACAATTCTTAGCGTTGATAGAGGAGGGATAAGAGGAATTATTCCGGGTACTATTCTTGCTTTTCTCGAGAGGAAAGGCTCAAAATAGTCCATCATCTTTGGGTTAAGGCTCAAAGTCATCCTTGAGTTTTCACATGGAACACTAATAGTCCCTCATGTTTGTAATATTGGTGCACTTTTGGTCCTCCTCCAAAATTTTACCTATTTTTTAACATTGATTTTATCCATAACTTATGTATGGGATGTTCAATCGTCATTTTATATATTTAGTAGAAATAATAACTCCAACTGAGAGAATGTGAGAAGAAAAACATATTGTTTTGTTTAGTAGAAATCGTATTGCAGGTTAAGTCGAGAGGTTCATGACGATAATTTCACGTGCAATAGTACAAATTTTTTCTTTTCTTCCAACGTCATATGTTAAGAAGTTCTTAGTTTAGCTGCAGTAATATTTCTACTGAACAGAACAATGTGTTCTTCTTATCATCTTCTCTCACATAGAGTTATTATTTCTACTAAATAGATAAAAAGACGATTGGACATTCCTTACATAAAATTGTGGACAAAATTAATGTTAAAAAATAGGCAAAAGTTTAGGGGAGGACCAAAAGTGCACCAATATTGCAAACATGAGGGACTATTAGTGCTCCATGTTAAAACTCAAGAATGACTTTGAGTCTTAATCCAAAGATGAAGGACTAGTTTGAGTCTTTCTTCTTTTCTCGAAGATCAACTTCAGGTATCGACGTATCGTAACTGTGTTTTTTTTTCCACATGTGTGGATGTGGCATTACTATATATTTTTTATAATTGAATTGTATTATTTTGATGATTATCATGTTGGGATCAAAATAACAGAATGACAAATCAAAACTAATAATTGAAAATCTTTATATGACGATAAATCTATTATAAGGATCTCATATGTCCACAACCCGATCTATATATGAAAAATTGTTTGAGTGGAAGGCTATCTCACAATCTTTCATGAAAATTATCTTTAA